AGGTGGGACAGTTGTGACCGCAGGGCCCGTAGGGCCGCACGTCCTTGAACTCTAAGGTCCATGAGGTCCAGGGACCCCATTGGATATCCAACCGTGTTTGGCCTGTCGGCCACTCTCCGAAGCACTGGGCGGGAAGGCAACCTGGGCCGCATGCAAAATGTGCTGGTTCCAGTGATCGGCATGGTCGTCCGGGTGGGTTTGGTAGGCGGGCTGAGGCACCGACTCAAGCTCACGAACGAATGCGGCACAACACTCTGGATCGTTGTACTTCGCTTCGTCCACTCGTAATCGGGACCGCGCGCGTGCATGCTGGTATGGCAGAGATGGGTGCACATGCACATCTGCCGACACCACAAAATGATCATCACTACGCAGAGAGAGATCAAGATCCACTTCCACTGACTGTCGTGTAACGCACGACAGCTGTCCACATGGCACAGTGATGTAATCAATTCGACGCCGTGGGTCAGTCCCATTGAGCCCCAGGGGGGAGCCAGGTACCATGGACCCCAGAAGCCGAAGGTAACATCGTGGATTGGGCACTATGTCCCGAGGTTTGCAGAAACTGATGGAAACGTGCCCCAGTGTGGTTCTCATTTTCGGTGGCGACGTCGCCAACATGATCCGAGACCCGAGAGCCCAGAGTAGCATTAGCATCCAACAAACAGTACAGGGGTGCGGGATGTGGGCGCTGGCGCAGGACGCATTCGATACTGACCCACCACTCTTCAACCTCGACGCTGTCGCGTCTGGAGTGCGGAGCATGCCCGACCAAGATATCGACACGCAAATGCGGTGCACGCACAGCAACGAGAAGATGATGAGAAGCAAAGCTGAGAACACGTAGATGGCGGCGAGAGAGCGTACACCCACGCACGCACTGAAAACCTGTGAGCACCCACCGAGCTACCCCACCTGCACCCTTCTGTTCGGCAGCGGCGGTGCGCACAAGATACTGAGCGGCAGGCGCCCATCCATTGCGACGTATCCTAGTCTCAAGCGCGCCGATAAAGAGAAACTGACGAGCATCAAACAAGTGCGCCACAGACAGCATGCGCCCAGGGGTATCTAGTCCGGCAGCGTCCTGGTACCGACATCGCATCCGCATCCTGCCTCCCTTCCGTGCAGCCTTCCTCCTGGGCCGTAATGTAAGAACATTGGCCACAGCAAACCTGACAAAGGCATCGAGAGCTGAACGGGAAGGCGAACGGACCGCGTCTTCACTTTCCGAGCTGAGTCCTGCATGCGAGTAGAAAGCGCGACGGGGATCGAAGAGAGGTGGACGTGCGATGGGCACTTCACTCATGCCAACTTTCGGGTACACCCCATGACCGTCGCTGGCGTTGGAGATCACTGACATCCACAGCCAGGGCACAGCAGCAACGGCGGCGGCGCCTAGCGCAGGCTTCGGTTGAAAGTCGTCGGGCGCAGTCGGTGCCAGGCCCATGTAGGCTAATCGTGCAATGGCATATGCAAGCTCATTCCGAGGGTCGGCATTGCGTCCCAAGACGTGTTTCCAACGCACCGCGGTAGAACAGCGGAGAAGCTTCAGCGCCCCATCGAACAACCCAGGATAGTCCCCACAAGATGAGTAGTGCGTTCCGCCTTTGGCCGACCTGACTACAGGGATATTGTCGGTGAAAACTTCCAGGGGCCTGGACCTGAATCTGCTAGGAGCCTGCAACATCCATAGCACTAGCCATAGGGCAGCTTGAAATTCAGCAGCACCTGAAGCACTTGGCAGGTCGAGGAGAGAGGGGTCAACACCACATAGATAACCGTCACATGTGTACTGTTGTGTGCCAGTAACTGAGTACATACACCAAGCCCATGACGGTGGTCCACCCAGTACTTGCGCCCGAGATCCACCAGAGCCGTCCGCATGCACCTCATACCTGATAACCTCATCCTCGGGGGGGGGGGGGGGGAAGGGCGCCTCCGTGGGATTCAAAAAAAGAACGTGTACTACTATGAAAGTAAGAGGAGAAAAAGCACGAGTCGGGCAACTGCTGAGGCCCGTAGAAAACTGGCGTGAGAGTGTGAGCGCAGGGCCAAGGCTGACGCAGGCCTCTCACGATCGACTCACAATCGGGAATGGGGCAAGGCGGCCTGGAGCGAGGGGGGAGAGGCGAATCGGACTCCATCCGATCGAGGGGCTCTGACGCGACATCGGCTGCGCTGGCAGCCGCAGGCGAGCTATGAGATGGCTCAGGCATCTCACCCCCAGCAGCTCGCCTGTCCTGATGCATCACCCCAGCGTCGACTCTCCCGTCGATTCTGCACCAGCGCCGCCAACCATCTCGAAGCCGTCGGGCCTGCGGGGGCTGCGATCGCGGCTGTGCCGCGTCCGCCTTGCAGCCGCCTCCGTCTCGTGGTCGCCGAACTCCGCCGCGCTGTCAGCACGTCCAGCTGGGGCCGGCATGCTGCAACGGCCCCGATGTCCGCCCAGCTGCTGCCGCCTGGCCATGGCGTCCGCGAGCAGCGGCTGGCCTGGCGGGCGCCTCGCGCGCTCCTGCTCGCACTTGGCACGGCGCGCCGTGGCGGCACGAGCGCGCGCAGCAGCGAGATCCTCGCCGTCGGCCCCTGCAGGCGCCGCAGGTGCGCCGTCAGCAGCAGCTGGCGCAGGCGGAGCGGGGCCAGCGGCAGCTGCAGGATCAGCTGCTCCGTCCACTGGGCTCGCTACCGCGGCCGCGGCGGCAGGTGCGGCAGCTGCAAGCTCCTCCGCCGTCGGCATGCGGCCCAGGCGCTGGGGCTGGCCAGCAAAGGGCCTGACCTGCGGGGCGCCGCCTTCAGGTGGGACGGGGACCTCGGCGGCAGCTGCTGGGGTCCTTGCCGCAGCCATCGCCATCTGCAGCGTCGTCAGCATTGACGTCAAGCTGCTGAGCTGGGCTGCGAGTGTCGCCTGGCCGCTCTGGAGCTCCGCGATGGCCGCCAGCTGCACGGGAGTGCTCTGAGGCGTCTGAGGTGCAGCACCTCCAGCCTCTGGCATCCTCGTGCCTTCCGCGCCCATGTCCACGTCCTCGGCTGCGACACCAGCTGCGGGGATGGGCTGCATCGCCTCCAGCTGGTCCAGCAGCAGCTTGGCCCGATCATGCTCCTTCTCGCGCTGCGTGCACTTCGCGTCGGCCTCCTGCAGGCGTGCCTGTGCCTTGTCGACCGCCTCGCGGGCACGCTCGAGCTTCCCCAGGGCCTTGGCGACGCAGGCCCGCTGGCGGTCGCAGCGCTCACCAGGCGCACGGGCCGTGATAATCATGCATAGCTGGACGCTGTACTCCAGTTTCTGGGCTGTCAAGATCTCCTCGGAGGCTCCGAGGGCGATGGAAGCCTGCAGGCGCTTCCCTGTCGCAGCAGCATATCTGACGGAGCGACTTCCTGTGCGCCGCCAAGGCGCGCTCGTCGCTGGGCGGGTCGACCCAGGCGGGGTGCTGCCTCGCCTCCTGCGGCAGCGCGGGAAGGATCCCGAGCGCTGGGCTGCGCACCTCATCGTCGGCGTCCGAGACGCCGTGGCCGTCGGGGTCGGGCTCGGGCTCATCCGCGAAGCGCACGCGAGAGCCCGACCGCGGCCGCTCCTCACGCCTCTCGCGTCTGCGGCGACGGGAGGCGGAGCGGCGGCGGCCTGGCGTCCCAGGAGATCTCGAGCCTCGTCGGCTAGGGTGCTGCTCCTGCTGCTGCTGCTGCTGCTGGCGCTGCTGCGGTGGGCCGCCATGCCCGCCGCCTCCGACTAGGCCCGTGGGGCCGGGGTAGCAGCACCGGCAGAGCCTCTCCTGCGGCCCGTTGAAGCTGCCACAATCCTCGCACCACCAGCCTGGCGGTGGGGGCGGCGGCGCACCCTGCAACGGAGGCGGAGCCCGACCTCCCTGCGGGGCGCTGCCGCCCGTCGCGCCCGTGCGGCCCTTGCCGATGCCTCCTTTGCCCATGGCGCTGTGGTGGGCGACAAGGAGGCGTGCGGCGGCTGCGACGCGCAGCAGCGTGCGCGACTGTGCTCGTCTCAGGCGCGCTCGGCGATGCCACGCGGGCTCGGCGCGCCCGAGCCTGGGGGGTCCGGCGCCGCCAGCGGGCCCAGCAGGCGGGCCAGGCGGGGAGCTGCGCGAGCGGGCGCGGCCAGCCGCATGCCGCCCAGGCGCGGATCGCGCGGGACTGGGGCGCGGGCCAGCGCGCGTGGCTGCCGCCTCCGGGAAAGGTCGCCGTACCTGGTACGGCGCCCAAACCTCTCGAACCGGGGCGGCGGTTGGGGGGGGGGGGGAGGAGGAGGGAGGAGGGAGGAGGGAGGAGGGGGAGGAGGAAGGAAGGAAGGAGAGACGCGGGGCACCGTCTTTTCAAAACGAGGACCCAACACCACAGGTTGGTTGGGAAAAAAAACTGCGAGGTAGGGCTGCGCAAACCTGGGTCAGCCAATATGCGCGGCCGCCTCGCAACCACGAGCGGCTCGCTAGCCCGGGTCAGTCAGAGGGGGTCTTCGCAGGACCCTGCAGGATCTGGTGCCCTGGCTGACCCCCATTTGCACTGACCTCCGTCTCATGAGCCCCGCGTCCACCCGGGCCCGCGCCTGCCGGGCGCCGTCCACCCCGGCCATGCCCAGGAAGGGGGGCGGGGCCACTGGCAGCCACGAGCCAGGAGCTCCAGGGGGAGCGGCGGAGCACTACCACCCCCTCCTCTGGGCCCCCCCTCCCAGGGGGGAGCGGGCAGGCTTAAGTCGGGCCTGTCCTCCTACAGGGGGACTTTGGGCGAAAAATGAAAAATAGTCAAAAAAAATACCCCTAAATGGTCACAAGATGCTTGAAAAATAATCCCCTGGCTATTATTTTCCCTATTTTGGGATATTCCTCCTGTAGAGGGACACGCCCGACTTAAGGCCAGGCGGGAGCGTGAGCACTTGTTGAGTCGCGCTCACGATCGGGAGCCAAAGCTCCGTGGCCCAGCCCCCGAGGGGAGAGGGGGGCCAGGGGCGGGGGGGGGGGAGGCGCGCCCTCCTTGCCCGCAGGAGCGCGCATCGGCCCAGCCTTCATGTTGTTGTAGATGGACCGCCCCTCCTCGACGGCGGAGACGATGGAGGAGAAGTTGTCGTCCGCCAGGACCATGTCGGAAGCCTGCCAAAGATTTTATCTTGTCTCGGCGGGCGCCCGCGGGCCTTCTGCGCTGGACGGGGAGCCTGTCGCGGACGGGGTGGGTGGGATCACAACGGTTGGGGGTGGAGACGCCGGAGGCCTCCCAAAGGTTGTCCAAGCAGGTGGGGCCCAAGGATCGCACCGCGCCGTGCAGTGGACCGCCGATGCATCGGCGATGCATCGAAGATGCACCCGCGACGCATCAGCGCCGTCGGCGTGGAGCAGATCTGGCTGCACATCGCGTTGCATTTTCCAACCCCATCTACTCGGACCCTCAGTAGGGAAGCCTGGAGACGCTCACTCTTGCAAGGTGTTCCTCCTCCTCCTCCTCCTCCTCCTCCTCCAAGGGTCTCGCCGGTTCTCGGCAGGGCCGACTCGGCTGGCGCTCGGCGCCTCCTTCGCGACCTCGGTGCCGGTGAGGCCCATGGCTATGCCGATGTCGGCCTGTCCGGGGGGAGGGGGGCAAGGGCGCCCAACTCCACGCCAGCACGAAGCGCGAACAACTTTGCGCCCTCGGGCCGCCCCCCAGGAGAGAAGTAGAGAGCAGAACATACCCGCCCATATTTCGCTGCGTGCTAGGATCTCCGGTAACAGGTTACGCGTGGCGGCCCCTGGAGACCCCCAGACAAAAAAGAACCCGGGCGATGCCCGGCCGATGCCCGACCGACTCCCCCGGGGCGCTCCAGGAGCGCGCCAAGAGGGCGGCGGGACGTCTCCTACTCGGCCCAAGAGACCCCGAGTCGCCGAAAGATCGCTCCAAGACCCGACAAACAAAAATCGCCCCATTCCCTTCCGAAAAAAGTACATGTTTTGCATGTGCGACGTTTCTCGTCTTTTCGGCTTCCCAACGCTCGAAGACGGCCCAACAGGCCCCCAAGACCGCCCCAAGACGGCCCAAGAAGCCTTTTAGAGGGCCCCAAGACGGCCCAAGATGGCCCCAAGACAGCGCAAGAGGCGCCCAAGACGGCCCAAGATGGCCCCAAAATAGCCCAAAGAGAGGCCCAAGACGGGGACCAGGAACCCAAAAAGTCCAGCCTTCAGCCCCAAAGGGGATCTTTTGGGGCCTTCGGGACGGCTGCGCGCGCCCCGGGCAATCGACGGAGCTGCGAGGATGCTGCACGGGAGCGGCTGTGGGGGTGCCCGCCACGCTCGGCGGCGCGCCGAGGGGGGGAACGCGAGAGAGAGAGAGAGAGAGAACAAAAACAAGGAGAGAGAGAGAGAGAGAGAGAGAGGCAAGCCTCCTCAGGAGGCGGAGGGGCTTCCCAGAACCCCTCTGGCCTCCTGCGGAGGCCTCTGTGGCTTTGGAGATGCTCCGAGGGCTTCCCGAAGGCCGCAGGCCTCCCGTGGGCCTTGTGACTGCACGTCACCGCAGCAGGGCTGCGCCGCAGCGTGAGACGGAGAAGCGGAAGGCGGCTGTCAACTCGCACACCGCCGTGCGCAGAGTCTTCAGGTGAGCCCTGGCACAGAGGTGGAAAGACCAGGATCGAAGCGGCAGGAGCAGGCGAGGAAACGCGGCCTCCCGTGGGCCTTCTGGGGAGGCCCGCCCCCGCTGCCCTCTGCCCCCCTGGGAGCGCCGACGGGCGCCCACGGAGCGCCAGGGAGCGCCCTGGGAGAAGCGACGGGAGTGCCCCCAGGGAGGGGAGGTCCTGGGAAAAGCCGAGGATCCGGGGCCCCTGCCCGAGACAGACCCTCTCGCGGGGGCACACACACAAAACAAAAAAAAAAAAAAAAAAAAATCGCGTCGGCGGCTAGGCAGAGCCGCTGCGCTGGCGAGGGAGCGAAGCGGGGCTGCCGTGGAGCGAATGCGCCACCATGCGAGGAGGGGAGGAGCAAACAGCGAAGGAACGGCCGAAGAGGAGGAGGAAGCGGGCCGGGGCCTCTCACACACACAAACAAACGGTGGCTGCAGCGGTCGTGCAGGAGCGACGACAAGGAGGACGGGTAGGAGGGTGCGCCTGCGCGCTCGGGCCGGCGCTCAAGCCAGGCCTTCTGCCTGTGAGGGCACACGCGCGCGTGGGTGCGCAGGCGGCCCTCATCTTTTGAGGTGATGTTGGCACGACTGCCGCAGAAACAGTGCGCAGTTCCTCGCAGGAAGAGCGCAAACGCGTGCTATGCGAAAACGAACCTTAGGAGGCAACTATTGGGAGGTCTTCGTCAGACGGATTAAAGAGGATTAAGCCCCATTGGGGGGCTGTTACGCCGGAGAGAGTCTCGGATTAAGCGGGATTAAGCCGGACTCAGCGGAATTAGCCGGGATTAAGCCGGACTAAGCAGGAATAAAAACGGATTAAGCCGGACTTCGGACC